CCCGCCCATGGGCGGGGCGGGGGGCGGGAGCAACGCCGAGGGTTGCGATCCCGTTGCCGGTCCCCGGTCCGGTGCGGGGGCAACACTGAGGGTTGCGATCCGTTGCCGGACACGGAAAAAGACAAAAAAAAAAAAAAAAAAAAAAAAAACCAAATGAACAGTATTTGACTTTTTTTAGAACCAACCTTCTGTTAATTATCTGTGGTAAATCTCTCCATCTCTCATCCAGCTGCTGCAAATGTAGTTTCATCATTCTCACGTCATCTTTGGAGGCCACTGAGAACAGTGATTCTTTCAATTGCAAAAGGCTGCTGTAAAATGAGGCCTGGGCCACAACTTCACTTTGCAGGGCCTGAGAAAAACAGAACATGTTACGGACCTCCTCCCAACATGATGGGACAGGAAGGATCTTCTGACACACGTGGCTGTCACCTGAAGGTTTTGCATTCTTGCAAAAGTGGAGGCCATCAGAGCCAGGCTGAAAGGAATTTTTATTACTTGACTTACAAACGGATCCATTTAACTTTTAATGCAATTTTTAAAATGCTACTGAAACCTGAATGAGTTTTCCAGAGTCTGAGTTACAAAGTTAAGCAAATTTAGAAGCTGTAGAATTTCATCAGGATGAAGAAACCGTGTAGAAGAGAATCGAAGAAAATTATTGCCGAAGAGAACCAACACATCAAACAATAACAGAGATGCAATTCTAGCTGCCTAGAACATGGTCTCTCTCTGCTGAGAGACTACCTGAGGGTACTCCAAAGTCTGTGGAGAAATAGAATTGGAAGATATACGAATCTTTCCAGGAACTTTTTGAAGTACCCTTGTATTAGGCCAAACTGGGAAACTTAAGGGCTCTTCCTTTTAATTTCACACAAAACAGTGACTTATTTTCCAAATTGAATCAGGCAATGGATCTCTTGGGTGCTGTGAGAGGCACATAAATGTAGTGGTTTCTATCTAGAAGGTGATAATAGGTAAACAACACTCATATAGATAAGTAACAGCATAAAATGGTGTTCAATCAGATGACAGACGTACATAAGGCACAGATCAGATGTTTAACAAGATGCTTCCTTTCCCTTCCTCGTGAGGCCACACATGCCATCCAAGCAAAACTGCTACAGGTATGAGAGGAAGGAGCACACAGCCTATGACGACAGTGAGACCACAAGCAGAACTGGGGCTTATTTCAAGGAGGACAAAGGAAAAAAGGAGCACAGGGGCAAGGCCAGGAGGTGGGAAGAACAAGGCACGTCCGGCCCCTGGGGGCGAGGCAGCTTGGTGGCCAAGGCGGTGGATGCAGGAGGAGCAGAGGCCTGCAGCCTCTCTTGGTCCGCCAGGTCACAGAGCACTTGCCATCGAGAGACACGGAGCAGCACAGTTGTACATACCCAGACAGCTTTGTGTCTATGCCATGACATGTTTAAGGAAAGGAGCTGTGCCTTCCCCTCTGGGAACCCTTCCCACGTGTCTGTAAGAAGATAAGAACCAGATTGTGCCTGCCTTTTATGCTCAGGGCAGGTAACAGTCACTGTAGGTTTCTGAGAAGTGACTTTTTGGAAGATTAATGCAGAGTATTAGTGTTTCATAAACTAGAAAGGCATCATCACAAATTTCTTCTCATCATGACTTTCTACTTCAGGTGAGGGTCGTTCTCTTCTTTTCAGGATACCTTGACATCAAATGATGCTTCAGAGATCACAAAACCAAAGCAAAAACTTAAGTGGGGTAGAGGTTTATTTTATTTATTTCCTTTCACCATACACTCAAGTCAACTCAAAATGGACTAAAGAATTAAATATACACCCTGAAACAATAAAACTTCTTAAAGAAAACATAGGAGAAACACTTCAGGAAGTAGGACTGGACACAGACTTCATGAATATGACCCCAAAAGCATGGGCAACGAAAGGAAAAATAAACAAATGGGATTATATCAAACTAAAAAGTTTCCCATTCACTTAATGGAAAATACTTGCCATATGATCTAATTGGCTCACAAAGTCCTCTTTATCGAATCTTTCAGGCAAATTAGACTGACTTTGTGCCAGAAAAATTGACTTCATTTTTAGATTCAAATAAATGTGTTAATATTTCTTTTTTGGAATATTGTAAACACTACTGAGAAATTTATAGAACTCATATGATTGAGTAATAAAAGTCATAATGTTGAGACTGAGTAATAGACGTCATAATGTCAAGATTAAAATGATACAGATGTAATTAAATAGAGTTATCCATTAAAAATAAAATATAAAGCAGGATAATTGTATCTCATTTGTTAATTTGTACTAAAGCAGTGTAATATACAGTGGAAAATATAAGTTTTTTGTGAAGTAAGGAATATGAAACAAGACATGCTATTACTTTGGTAGTATGTGGGCATTCATGTATTGAGTTCTGGTATTGGGCTTTTTATAATTAATAAGAAATATTTGTAAATATATCAAGAATAAAAGCACGGGCAACCAAAGGAAAAATAAACAAATGGGAATATATCAAACTAAAAAGCTTCTGCCCAGCTAAAGAAACAATTAACAGAGCTAAAAGACAACCAACAGAGTGGGAGAAAATATTTGCAAAATATACGACCGACAAAGGATTAATATCCAGAATATACAAGGAACTCAAACAACTTTACAAGAAAAAAACAAGTAATCCAATTAAAAAATGGGCAAAAGAGCTAAATAGACATTTCTCTAAGGAAGATATACAAATGGCCAACAGACATATGAAAAAATGCTCAACATCACTCAGCATTTGGGAAATGCAAATGAAAACCACACTGAGATACCATCTCACCCCAGTTAGGATGACTAAAATCCAAACAACTCTGAACGATAAATGCTGGTGAGGTTGCGGAGAAAAAAGAACTCTCATACATTGTTGGTGGGAATGCAAAATGGTGCAGCCTCTATGGAAAATGGTATGAAGGTTCCTCAAACAATTGCAGATAGATCTACCATATGACCCAGTGATTCCAGAGGAATGGAAACCATCAAGTCGAAGGTGTACCTGTTCTCCAATGTTCATTGCAGCACTCTTTAAAATAGCTAAGAGTTGGAACCAGCCCAAATGTCCATCATTGGATGAGTGGATATGGAAATTGTGGTATATCTACACAATGGAATACTACTCTGCTATAAAAAAGAATGAAATACTGCCATTTGCAATCACATGGATGGACCTAGAGAGAATTACTTTAAGTGAAACAAGTCAGGGACAGAAAGAGAAATATCACATGTTCTCACTTATTTGTGGGAGCTAAAAATAAATAAATAAATACACACAAAAAAAATCCGGGGGGTGGGGGGTGGGAAGAAGACATAACAATTACAATTCCTTGAAGTTGATATGACAAGCAAACAGAAATGACATTGTTGGGAGGGAGGGGGGTGGGGAGCCGGGAGGGAGGTTTTGGTAATTGGCCACAATAATCAACCACATTGTATATCGACAAAATAAAATAAAATAAAATATTTTTTTTTTCCTTTTTGTCTTTTTCCGTGTCCGGCAACGGATCGCAACCCTCAGTGTCGCCCCCGTACCGGACCGGGACCGGCAATGGGAT